CAAATATCACTCAGAAGCTGCTGTGGGCTGGCGCGAGTCAGTGGTGAAGGCACACCTCCACTGGGAGGTGAGAGACGACTCAAACAGGTAGAGATACTCACACTTACGATCTCATTGAGGTATTTACAATGCTTTTGATATACTGTCGGCTTCGGTTTAGCATGCAGTAAGACTGAAGCTGGGGAGCAACAGAAGAATTCGTGGACTGTATACCCCACAAAGAAAGGGCACCCTAGAGATGCATATAGAACTTGGTTAAAGAAGACACTTAGCAATGCGTGGAAGTTACAGGAGATACTAAGTGGAGCACACAGACAACGGAAACAAGCATAGAGTCTTACCGCGTTAGATAGGGAACTTTTATCATTTCCCCACGTCTAAACTGCTAGGGGTCCCCATGGCGCAGTTTCACGGTTCCAGCTTGTCGTGGTTCTGTCCACAAAGCAGTAGCAGACGACAGGCTGTAGCAGACGACACCGGGAGAGTCTCCCGCTTCAACTTTGGGGACGTCGGTCGGCTCAGACGAGTGACGGAATGATAGCTCGGTGCTCAACGAGCCACCATAGTAGAGTCTGCTCTATCGATCTTTCAATTTGAAGGCGGAGTGAGGGACGGATCTTCTACTGGCACTCCAAGACGCGATTTCTCTTCACCAGCGGTGCCGGGAAGGCTTTAATTAATTGGTGGCAGACATGGTAAACTATGCGAGCTTTATTTTCACAAGAAAACGCGGTAGCGGGGAGAATCTGTCTGACATGTGTTCCAGCAGTTCCGCCTCTCTCACACAGGGCTCTGTTTCCTTCACATCACACTGAAAGGTGTTGCTTTCCTTATCTGCCTTACTCTCTTTCAGATAGATATTCCAGACCCGATCCGAGTTGTGTACCAGACAGGGAAGTCTGATCCCAGGGCCAGTTCCTGCACGTGGGCTGAGGGGTGCTGCCGTCTCTGCCCAATGGTCCAGCTCAGTGCTCGGCCAGCCATCAAGGCGAGAGGTAGCTTTATGGATCAGCAAAGCCAGTACTGAGGTGTGGCAATGCTGATGGTTTGGATTTGCCCTGGTGCTAATTAGGCCCCGTGTTGGCAACTCCATCTTGAACGCACATGGCAGGCGAGCAAGCGAGAAACAATCTGGCTCTGCTATTTACATACCTCCTTGAATGTGCGGTGCCGTTCTCGAACCAAGCCCAAGTGGGACGCTTCAACATAACGGGAAATACTAGACGGCAGTCGGAGGCACATGTTAGTGTCATTAAAGGGGGTAGAGCAGAGGTGCACGGGAAGTGCTCGTTCCATTTCGCTGCGTAGTCACTCTGCCGTGGTATTGAACCCAGATCAACTGAAAAAAACTTGACTGAAGAAACAAAGCAGCCATGTTTTGATCCTCTGCCACTCGGCAAGACTCGTGGAGGGGCCGCGGCGAGGTGAGAAGGGCGGATGTTATGGCCGATATTATCGGCAAGCACGTATGTAATGCCATCGCGTGTACATCTGGGGTTAAATATTACTTTATGTAACGTCGGACCAATCTCAAGTTCGCTGGTGTATGTACGCAAAGTTAGGAGAAGCTTGCCGACCATTTCCTGATGTTGTGGCGGGCTGTTGAGACCCTCTATTTCGGTATACGGTATCCCCCCCGGGGGCGTGTAACGCTCGCAGTGAAAAGTCTCACCTAGAAGAAATAATTTGTCTGCTTGTCAGAGGCAGGGGCAGACGATAGCCGAGCTGATAGATTGAAACACTGCGAATATTTTTTGCCTTCTGATCGGGGTTGGGTTGCCGTACCGGGCTTGGTGTAACGATGAGCGAGAGTCGTCTGCTATCATGGCCACGAAGCATGTCCCAAGTCGACACACTGAAGTGTGAAGTATTTCCCCAGAAAGATACCGTCTGGTGCTCAGTGGCAGAGAGCAGACGAACTTTTGAAACCTTTCTTCCCAAACGTCGGGTCTAATGCGTGGCGCGAAATATGATCTGTGAAACATGCTGACAATCAACAGCGCCCTTTGTTGATGGGGCAAGGGAAACAAAATGGGAATTGGACATAAACACACGCCACCGAGGGACTACTTCCCCTCGCGGACGTTGACAGCGAAAGTGACAGCGGTAACAAGATTAAAGCACGCATAATCTGTCCGATCAATTCTCTGCATCATCTTGTAAGAAAAACGAGCCACTTGGCCCTGTTTGTGGAAATAAAGTAAAGTTCAATCAGCAGACACACCGAAACAGAAAGCATGTCCATAAACACGCTGTTACATTCCCGATACAGCAGACGACACAAATAGTTTTTGTCAGTATGATTGTTTTAGTCAAAGGAAGCAATATTTACCAAACTGCTACAGGCATGACCTGATAACGCAGGTTTCGTCTCTTCTAGACCTAGGAGTTATAAATGTGACGGGACAATCCACCCTCATGAGATAAGGTATAGGCGACCATACGGCCATATTCCTCTGTTGCTTCAATCCGCACCACAAAATAAATATTGTCTATCCTGGTTGTTTGCTTGTGAGATATATGTCACTTAAAATTACACCAAATTGCCACCCGAAAAGCCACCACAGAAACTAATTGTTTGTTTGGCCGGACATACACACACAGACAAGCACTGTAAGCCGATTGCATGATGCTGACACTACATAACGACTAAATCAGTCTTACGGGATCTGTTGCGAGTAAATAAATCGACACTCCGTAATGCACGTGAAACTCGGATTGACCAAATTAATCAGTCATAAAATAATAAGATGTTAATTCTTAATGATTATAATTAGCATACATTTATAGAATAGATTGTCTAAGCACAATTTAATTTAATAATTAGTGAATTGTTAAATACAATGTACACAAATATCTTATGGAGAAGAAGTGAAAAACATTGACCGTCTTTCATCAGGTTATGAATTTAATGGAGATTGGCATGAGTTCCTGGCAACAACTATCCCGTGTGACACGGGATCTATACAACTAGGAGGCCACAAAAGCACCACAAGGGGTGTCTGCAGAGCGCATGGGGGAACAGTCCCCTAAACAAGGTGACTGTGACCGAAGGTAACGGCTTTGTTATCGGAACAGACTCGTTTCCAGCAGAATGGCTTCTGGATTAAAGTTTTAGTGAATATGAATTTGCCAACAAGCTGACATCGAATTCTCGAATAACACGGGATCTCGTGCGTGTCTTCTTCTTCTCCACAAAGTATATAATATTCAAGAAAGCCTGACGTATTTAATCATTCTAGTGAGCATGGTTTTGCTCACGAAATTACACTTTTTTAAGAAAGTAATTGTGGACGTCATTTGCGTCATTTTGTTTTCTGCATTATTTTGTAAGCATTGAAACACCTCCATCACTTCCCCCGCTAGTTCGGATAACGTATGGCGTGGCACTGTCGTCCCTGTTGAAGCCAAACTTACCGTTTTCACATTCTGATTCATAGTAAGACAATTTGTGTAGTCTTCATAAAATAATATATCTTTTTTATCCTAACAAACATGGCTAGTAAATGAATTATCAGAAGTGAACGAACGTAAATATACAGACGAGATTGTACGGTAGTGACATGAGGCTAGTTAATTGATAGTCTCTATTCAAACGGAACCATATTACCTATACTAATATACATCCAGGCCGGAATTCAGATAGATGTATTTAGCTCGGGTTGGTCATTTCAGATATACATGAATGTAGATAGGGTTAATCAGTCCAAATGCATGCTAGCTTTGTTCAGACATATTTGACAAGACTGTCTTCCCCATGATTCAAATAAGAAAATATATTCGGTGAAAACATGCGAATGTATGCCGGTAGATTAAACAAGGAATGTGAATTATGGACACAATATGCTGGGGGACTGAATGACTTCCTTCACCTATAATCGCAGGAAAAACGACCTCAACCAAATCAATATACACAGCAGCCTACAAATGGTAACTAACGTGATTTCAAAGAATTCAGGACAGCAGACGACATCTTTCATTGTCGTCTGCTCGCTATCGTCTGCTTGTGTCATGTTGTGAACACTAGTGACAGCGGACAGATACAGTGTTGCTAAACACCCCCTAATTGTAGCTCCGGGGGGACCTACCCTCCTCCGCCCCACTTCATCTGACAATTTGTAGCATAGTACCCCATACCTGTTCGCGACACGACTGTCTCCCCTCCCCACACCTGACAAGGCGACATGTTTACAACAGACGCAATAAATGATGACTCCTGACATTTTGAAAAACACTTTATACTTGTAAGGCTTTACCTTAAAACATTGTATAGGTGAGCTTCGGCCATTGTAGATATTATTACTATTATTAAGATTATTTTTCATTCCATTAATTAATTTCAATTAAGAGAGTTGCAAAGTCCTTAAATATTTTTGTTTTTACTTCTTTCTAAATGCCATGAAGATAGTTAAGTAGAAATTGTATTTTAATCAACAGTAAGATTTCAAACATGTCTGACGTGACAATGTCTGCATTAAAGAGTGACGGTCTTATCTATTTACAAGAGTACTTTCGTCTTTGTTTGACCTGCCTTGCGTGATAAGAAATACTGTTTATTATTCGTCAACATAATTTTCAAGTCGAAAGTGGCATCTGTGACAACTGTATACCGACCGAGTTGTTCTCCAATCTTCCATGAACGAGGTGTTCGCGACCCCCTGGACACATTGCATGATCGACCCAGCCTGTCATAATCCATGACACCTGGTCTGATAGCTATATCTGGGGATGATACGGGACTGGGAGGCGTTCCTTACACACAATCCAACTTGGTACCAATAATTTACGCCCACGGAACATCTCCGATCTGTGATAATCTCAGCCTTAACTGAACATATTCGCAGAATGTTTGGCAGAGCCAAACGATAGAACCAACCTAGAACCCCAAGGGCAGACGACACATTTAGTAAAGTTGACACGATCGAAAATCATGAAAACTTTGAAACTCTTTGGGGAAGATGGGCTTCGATTCTGCTGAAAAGTGTGGGTAAAGGTCTCACCTTTTAGCGTTTGGTTTCATTCGGTGGCGAGATGCAATCCATCCGGTTTGAGGTAGCAGACGACACTTGTACAAGTGTGACAATGTATCCAATCCAGTAATCCGCTATATCCCCCTCCTCTTCCCTCAACTGGCCGCGGCACACCCGGCATAGATCGTGCTGGGGTTTATTCAACTAGACGTATAACTACAGTATGTAAACACTCCGCTTGCAGCAAACACCAAAGGCTGTCACTCACCGCGAAGAAATTAAAATGTCTTGCAAAGTTCAAGTGATTCTATTAAAGCGGTCGACGAATTCAAACAAATCCGGTATTAATGCCGAATCACTTCACACTCAACTGTATCGATGGCTTGCAATTGGCTGAGCCTGACAACGTCACTGATTTGAAGGACTAGCGAGAGAGTCCACTTCGCCACTCCTCCTAGACCCCTCTCTCTCTCATACCCCGCTCTCCTCTACAGTGCTCTTCTCTCTCTCTCACCCGCGTAACGCCCTCGTTTCCTACATCCATGGATCGTGGATGAATTTTCAAATCCAGTGGGAAAACCTCCTGACACCGGTAGATGTTTTAATTATCCCGAGCCGTAACGTTCTGGGTAGGGGGCATAAACCAGGTAAAGGATCGCCTTGCTATCTCCCTGATCAGGGAATGCTAGCTATGATCCACGCAGAACAAATTGTCCCCCCGACGAGGGCTTTAGTGGGACGGTGAAGCGAGGAGCTTGGTCTACTCTATTGTCCCGGTTGTAGCAGCGGGGCGAGTCTGATAACCGCGGACATGGCTGAAGACAACACATACCCAACCAACCTCCCAAGCAATATTACTCTCAGCTTACAAGAAATGTAACAACCAGATCGGAACAAGGCCTGTTTTACGTGTCAGAAAATTAAATATATTTAACTCTGGATTATAACCGTATTATGTTTTATCTTGTAGATAAAGCTTTTCGTATTTCCTGGGATTGACAACACGCAAGTTTGTTATCAGATATTGGGACTAGTTGTGCCGGCTGTGTTACACCGGGGCTGAATGTTAGGGAGGAAATAAGTCCATGGTATTCAGTACTAGAGTGATGAGTAACAGCAGTTCAAAAGGCTCTATCTGGATGCCAGGAAGTGTTATTCATATATACCAGTATATATGACTGGACGTTAAGGACACATATACACCACTTATCTAAGACAAAGATTTTAGATGTTGTATGATAAAAGCGAATAAATGCTGATCGAAAGACGTGAAGTTGTATGAATATACTTCTTCAACATTTTACTGAATTATTATCATTGAAATTTTGGAAATATGCTAGACTAGACTTGTAAATATATGAAACTACATAAATGTATACCGCTAAACAGTATATGAAACAAGATAGACTTTCACTGCTGGTCAGTGTATGAAACAAGATAGACTTTCACTGCTAAACAGTATATGAAAAAAGATAGACTTTCACTGCTGGTCAGTGTATGAAACAAGATAGACTTTCACTGCTGGTCAGTGTATGAAACAAGATAGACTTTCACTGCTGGTCAGTATATGAAACAAAATAGACTTTCACTGCTGGTCAGTATATGAAACAAGATAGATTTTCACTGCTGGTCAGTATATGAAACAAGATAGACTTTCACTGCTGGTCAGTATATGAAACAAGATAGACTTGGTCAGAGTATGAAACAAGATAGACTTTCACTGCTGGTCAGTATATGAAACAAGATAGACTTTCACTGCTGGTCAGTATATGAAACAAGATAGACTTTCACTGCTGGTCAGTATATGAAACAAGATAGACGGTCTATGAGACTTTCACTTTGCTGGTCAGTATATGAAACAAGATAGACTTTCAATGCTGGTCAGTGGTCAGTATATGAAACAAGATAGACTTTCACTGCTGGTCAGTATATGAAACAAGATAGACTTTCAATGCTGGTCAGTATATGAAACAAGATATACTTTCACTGCTGGTCAGTATATGAAACAAGATAGACTTTCACTGCTGGTCAGTATATGAAACAAGATAGACTTTCACTGCTGGTCAGTATATGAAACAAGATAGACTTTCACTGCTGGTCAGTATATGAAACAAGATAGACTTTCACTGCTGGTCAGTATATGAAACAAGATAGACTTGGTCAGAGTATGAAACAAGATAGACTTTCACTGCTGGTCAGTATATGAAACAAGATAGACTTTCAATGCTGGTCAGTATATATACTCTCACTGCTGGTCAGTATATGAAACAAGATAGACTTTCACTGCTGGTCAGTATATGAAACAAGATAGACTTTCAAGATGAGACTTTCACTGCTGGTCAGTGGTCAGTATATGAAACAAGATAGACTTTCACTGCTGGTCAGTATATGAAACAAGATAGACTTTCACTGCTGGTCAGTATATGAAACAAGATAGACTTGGTCAGAGTATGAAACAAGATAGACTTTCACTGCTGGTCAGTATATGAAACAAGATAGACTTTCACTGCTGGTCAGTATATGAAACAAGATAGACTTTCACTGCTGGTCAGTATATGAAACAAGATAGACTTTCACTGCTGGTCAGTATATGAAACAAGATAGACTTTCACTGCTGGTCAGTATATGAAACAAGATAGACTTTCACTGCTGGTCAGTATATGAAACAAGATAGACTTTCACTGCTGGTCAGTATATGAAACAAGATAGACTTTCACTACTGGTCAGTATATGAAACAAGATAGACTTTCACTGCTGGTCAGTATATGAAACAAGATAGACTTTCACTGCTGGTCAGTATATGAAACAAGATAGACTTTCACTGCTGGTTAGAATGGGAACCAAAATGCACTTATACAGCTTGTCAGTCTATATGTAATGGGTCGTATATATTCAGGTAACAAGTATCTAACACTTATGATTATCTATCAGGACATGTACATACTTCAAAGGTTTATATTATTGCTATACATATGGCAATTCATAAACACAAACTTCTTTTGGGGGGAAATGCGACAATTTATCAATGTGAACAAAATGCATTACATATCACTTTAGAGGAGACTAATCGCACCCTTTCGCCAAAACTCGTTAATACGCAGATAAAATACCAGACAATATAAACTTGCATGACAACCCGTTAAATCCAAATCTTAAGACAAAACAGAAATGTTCCACCACACCCGTACAAGGCTGAGGTTATATTTGAAAAATAAACACAATACAAAAGACACCAAATTAAAGATACAATGTCGACAGAGACCCACAGCAAAAAACTAATTCTTTATAAACAAATATCAAGTGTATGCAGTGCCGTTTCTAGGCTACTAATTTCACACACAATGGGGAAGATAAAGAAAGCAGCTCTGGGACAAAGTGCAACGCGGTTCCAACAAAAACAACTTCACCTTTGAACAGGTTTTGAAGTAGTAACAGAGAATTGTTGCTCCTAAAGATCGGATGGAAATTGGACATTATGAAATCGTTATTTACATTGCTGTTACGATGCAGGAGGCAAATAAAGTTCAAAGCAACTTTAATCAAGCGGAGTTGTGCGAACTTCAAGAATGCGGTGTATAACAGGGATCCCAGAACTCACGTGTAGTATGTAAACGGAAGTGACGTCAGAGGGTTCGGAGGTCAAGCTAATTTGGGTGTTTGTTATTCGAAGCTGAGCAAATATTTCTTTATCTGTGAATGAATACCAACATTAGCTCTTAAAGGTTTGTAGAATTAATTCAATTATCATTATCAAAAATGACCCCTTACCATTGTATGTAAAGTTATTCTTGTCAGTACGCCGTACTTTAACTACACGTTTTCTTTCAGTTTTTATGTAAAATGCAGTTACATTAAGTCAATCGAATCTCCAATTTTGACGTTTGTTCCCCGGACTGTTTCAAATGTTCTCGACAATAATGGCTTCTTACTCCAATTTTTTAATATTTTGCCTGATCCCTGTAAGTGCACGTATACCACTCACAAGAAGTTAAACAACAACTACATTTTCATATAAGTACAGTTAAGTAAACCCGAGTTTTTGTTAAGTGCCTATAGTTAATCGGGCAGAACCATGTCTGATAAACAATATAGTCACATGGAAACAACAGGTATACTTTAACCTTTTTTAGTAGTATATATTGAGAACTGAAATCGACTAATGGCAATCCTTTAAGCGAGCGTCTGATCTTTGCCTCAAAGATTTTAAAGGTGCACCTCAGACGAATGGAATGATGTATTGTCATTATTCGAAACTGTCAATTTACAAAATGAACAACCACATATGGCTATATTGATATATGCTTTTACAATATACTAAATTATCCCATTACATTTAAACATCAAAAGAAAGAACACACAGCGTATGTTCAGAATGCAGATTACAGTGGGATGAATCTTTAACACAACAGTGTGGTGGCCTGGCTACGTTGTTTTCAAATATAGTGAGCGGTTATAGATTAACATAGATTTAATCTCGAGTCCGAACGAGCGCCAAACAGAAAGCCCTCTGTTACCCTAGAACAGGTAATAACATCCAGCCTCACCTGTGAAACATGATGTTTGATCTGTAGATTACATCCATGATCAGGGTCTCGTAACTCATTTTAATTTGCTGAATTGATGCATAAGATGGTGAGTGTATTATGTGCACGTTGCAGGGACGTCTCCATCTTCATTAGGTTGACGATCCTAAAAGTTTAGGCCCTCGCAAATTGAGGTTCGTCAGTGAGTATTTGTACTTGTCAGACAGGTAGTGCTGTATTTTCTAATGTTAATATATTTTATGACAAGCGAGCTGAATTTTAGAATGGGTGTTAGGAATTGCAGCTAAGCCGTCAGTGCGTGAAACGGTTCCCTGATGAAAAAGCTACATGCGTTATGTTAAGTGCATTCTCGGCGTTTACGAGTTCGACTCGGCGCAGAAGGTACAGGCGGTGATAAAAACACTTATTCTATTATAGTGCTGTGTTCCGCCATGATGTGTGTGCTTTTTATATGTTAACGTGTTTCACTAAATGATGAAAGAGACATCCGACAGTTGAAAGTAATATTCGAGAAAACAAAACGATGCACTTGTCTAACATTTTATTAAGAGATATGTAACACCTTGTTTTTTGCAAGTACATAATTGTTAGGAAACAATTGTCAGATACCTTTTTATAATAATGTTTTAAGAGAAACTATTTTTTTATTCTCCGATTTCATTGAAGCAGCGTGATACCGGTTGATAGTGTTTATAAAACAGTCGTATAACAACTTCACTTTAAAAGCGACAGCAGGGAAGGTATTTATCTCCTGACAGACAATACAATAAGATGCTCCGATAGTTTCGTTACGCAACCTTCTATGTTAATTAATATCCTTCCCGTCGCTCGACTTAACTACACCGCAATTGATCAACGTGAATATGTTGTGTTTTTCAGTTCATGTAAATCTGCATTTTTATGGAGAAAATATGCATCCCAAATATTTTCAAATAAACAACATATAGAATGAGACCCATGTACTGTACATACAGACTATACTGAAGAACAAGCTGCCATTCTATCGACAATATTCACACACATGTACTGCTAATCCTCGAATTATGCAAAATAATAGGCTAATGGTTGTTAGTAGCCCGGAGAGCTGCTTGGAGTTCACACAGCTCAGCACGCAGCTTGGACTATTATGAAATAATGAGTAAATTATGCTAATATAT